CCTAGGAAGGCTTAACTTATTCGAATAAGGTTTGTGGCAGAGTTGCGCCGGGACGCGCAGAGGCTCTAAGTCCAGAAGCCTCTAAGATCTTAGATATTAGGGTTATATTCTATCAGGGGTTATATTGGGATAATGGAAAATAAAATGGAAACTACTATGATCTTAGATATTGGGGGTATATTTTATTGGTGTTATTTTGGGATAACGGAAAATAAGATGGAAGCTACTCTTTAGAGTTTAGGGCTTAGGCCCTTGATATGGACCCTTTTTTACGCATCTGTATGCTTGGTTGCTGTGGGTTCTGCAACACCTCCGCATGGTCTTCCCAGGAGCCCCCGCGCCCTGACGATCCCACCTGGCTGAAGGTTGGATTACCCGTTCCGTCCTCCAACGCCTTTTGAGTAATCCGTAATTCCACATGATTCTCTGTGCGCTCGCGTTTCTAGCTTCTTGCTAGACTTCCTGTAAGAACGTCTAGATTTCCGCAAAAGCTTATCTCGCTCCTTGTTTACTGTACCGGGGTGCAACAGTATACAAGGACAAGGGTGTAAGATGCTTCCCAAGATCAAGGGGTCCATGGTTCTATGAGTTACTCCTGCACAGCATGAGCCCCTTACCTCTCGCCTGCGCGTAGACGTTCCTCATCACAGTCATCATAGAATCCCTAAAAAGTACCCTAAATCCTGTCTATCTGCATCCCTAGAGTCCTACGGTGCCCCCTTAGGAGACATCCCCACCAAACCCTGAAATCCGAAACCCTATATACCCCAAACCCTAAAAACGCTAGAAACCTTAAAGCTGGCCTAGACGCCACGAATTTTAGGGTTTAGGGTTTAGGGTTTAGGATTTAAGGTTTGAGGGTTTAGGGTTTAGGATTTAAGGTTTGAGGGTTTAGGGTTTAGGGGCCCAGCAAACTCTAGAAACTCTAAGCCCTACAAACCCTATCAACCCTCTAAGCCCTACACACCCTACAAACCTAATTAGCCCCACAAACCCCTCCTTGGGACTTAGCTTTTGAACCTTAGACCCTTAACCCTTCGGGATTCCCTTCTACTCCTAAGGGTTAGCTCTGAGTAAGTGCCACCTAGCCCTCCTATAACCCTGGGTTTAGGGGTTTAGGGTTTAGGGTGCCGCTGTTGATGAAAAGCTTGGAGGACCCCCAGAGTGTTTGGGGTTTTCATCACAAGTGGGTAGAGAATGCTGGCCAGCTACTCTATCAGGCGTTGAATGGAGGTTTGGCAGGTGAGGAAAGTGACGTCCAGGCACAAGAAGATTTTATTTACGTCACCGGCGATAACATCGCCATCTCGGCACTCTAGGAAGACGCAGGCGACTGGAAGACCTTGGAGATTGATGTGCCGACGAGCGATTGCAAAATCGCAGCCTCTGGCGCACCTTTGCTGGTAGAGTTTCTTGTAAGGGCCTTCACTGGTCACTCCAGCCTTCAGAAAGCGACGTCAATCCGAGGGAAGGCGTCCAGACTTGAGGGTTCCTGCAATGCTTTGGACCATGAACAAGCGCGGGCACAGAGCCAACGTGCCTCTTCTGGCTCCGCGGTTAGCCATATTGACGGGGGTTGCGCAAGTATCTCCACCACTAGTATCTCAACCAATGCCTCCGACGGTCAAGCAGTGGGCTCGGTTGAGGTTCTCAAGGAGTGTCACAGAGCCCGTCGTGCTGCTCTAAAGGAACAACGGAGACAGGATAGAAGGGACAGACAAAATTCACAGATGTAGGTTTCCTTTCAGGTTTAGAGAATTGTCAACATCCAAGTCGCTCGAAAAGGGTGGCTGTTTTCCCTATCAGAGGCGTCGCAGGCCAGATGCAAAAGGGTTTAGGGTAATGCTACACCCTAACCTGCTTAATTAAGCCCCGCAAAGCTCCGGGCCGTCAGGCAGATCGAGCCTGGCTTTCCAGTCCCAGCAGTAGCAGATGGCCAGGTGCAATGGTAATAACGCTTAAGGTTTAGGGTGTAGGATTTAGGGTTTAGGCTTAGGGTTTAGGATTTAGGGTTTACATAGAGTTTAGAATTTCGAGTTTAGGATTCGGGGTCTGGGGCATAATATATTGGAGAACCAGATGGAAAACAAAGTGCGCAACGAAATGGGAACTGCACGTATATAGCTGAATTTTTCACCAAAATAAAAGGCTTGAAAGTGTCCTATGGGATATGTAGGATGACATGTTTTCAGGGTTTCGAAAAAGCACGGTTCCAGTTTATGGGGCATGTATAGTAAAGATTATCGTGAATGGATGTTGATTGGGAACCACGATATTAACCGCCATGGTGGTGAGGTCACCAAAATTTGTCCAGCTAAACTCGATGAGACGCCAGGTGGAGTTTAGGGTTTAGGGATCCATCTTGATGTTGCCGGGGTTGTATGGAGGCTATATATGGGGCCTTATATATATTCATGAAGGCATTCTGGTAACTGGATAACTGGATTTAACTGGTGCTACTTTGAGGGTTACGTAAGGATTATACAGGCTATGTAGAATGTTTTGTGGGGCAAAGAGGATTTGTTCCACCTTCCGTGATGTTGTCTGGTTTGCCTACGAAGACTACAGCCGTCCTTATGAACCCTAAACCCTAAACCGCCTAAATAGGTTTGCGCGTTGGCTCTTGGAGGGCTAAAGGACAGAACGTTTTCGGGTTTCTGTGGGTTGTTTCTCCCTAAAAGTCCAAAAGCCCAAATAATGGAGTTTTAGGGCCTAAATACCATTGCTATTATAGTATTCGGGCCCTAAAACCCTAGTATTTGGGTCCTTGGACCCTCAGGGTCTTATGGTTTTTTTTGACGTGAATTGCGTAGGAACCGGGGCGAATATGACTCCCTATGGCACCAGATACACACTGTGTAAGGCACCAGAATACTTGGAAGACGTTGCTTCAAAGCTCAATAACCACACCCTAAACCCTAAACCCACATGGGGATTTCCGAAGTTCCCGAAACAGCGGCGGCCTCCATAAGTTGTTCTGTAAGGGTACCCACCTGGTAACTCCCCACCTAAAACTGCCGTTTACCAGGACCCTCCTTATACCCTTAGTTGAGGATATATGGCCCCTAATAGTGGGTACTTAGGTCCTAATAGAGAGGAGGGTCTAGGTGCACAGAAAGCAATCCGAGATACATTCAGGGTTCAAGTTCATTGCAATTATTCAGAGCTTGGTTCTATATAACCTGTCATCCTAACCTAAAAAGCCTACGTCTGGAGCCCCAATTAGCTTGGCGGAATGCGTGCCACTCAGACTCAGTATGGCGGTGCATGTACATGCAGTGGTTTCACAACATTCGGGTCCCTTGTTTGGGAATCCTAAAGTGCTGAGCTGCACATGCCCGGGAAGCACAACGAGAGACTAAGCTTAAGAAGAAATATTGAGAGCCTGGCTAGAAATATCCTTCAGCTTGTTGAAGGCTTGTTGCAGATAAGACTCAGCCCAAAACTGCACAGATATGTGACGCTTTCATCATGGCTTGTATACCTGTTCCCTAGCAGTGCTTGACTAAATCTAAGTTATCAGAATAAGGAAACCATGTTGTGCAGCAAATTTTCATCTTCTAGATTCTAGTAAGTTAGGATTATGAATAGTTTTGGAAATCATGGTGGAGAAGCAATATCAGAAATGATGGATTCTATGAGCCCTGTAAGCCCTTCAAACTGCAAACCCTCGCAAATCTCCATGCACGGGCGCCCGGTGCCATGGTGTTGTTGAGCATCCAAAGCTTGAGCGGCGCGGCCTTTGATCTCGAAGCCGACGCTGGCTTTGCAATCTAGGATTTCAGGCTCAGGGTATACTTTCTAGGGTTTAGGGTTTCAAGTAGGGGGCCTAGGGATGTCAGGTTTATTTAAAGTTTAGGGTATAGGGTTCACAGCTTAGGAGGCGTGTAGGGCTATCCCAAACGGAATATTGAAGGTGATGCTATGGGCGGGGAGGGGGCTATAAAAGGGCTACAGGGACTACATATGGATTTTGGTACTCTAACCCCCAACACAATGACCCCCGGAGCATCACACTACCTCAAAGGGTCCCTTAACGCAGAGGCAACGCTAGACCCTTTAAATCTACCGCCGAGAAAGAGGGCCCAGAGATCCAGTTCATTGGTACGATTCCTCTCATGGAGAAGCCTACATAATTGCAAAGATTGGGGTTCTAGATTCCTTGTAATTTATTTAGAGTGTTCCTGACACAGCCTTCCAAAGAGTATGGGTTAGGAGGACCCCCCACCTTGTAATAGTGGTATAGTAAGAATACAAGAGGACCCTAATATAATCCCTACTATCCCTTATAGTCACTATTACTGGCCCTAAACCCTAAACCCTAAACCCTAAACCTTATAGTCACTATTACTGGGTGGGGGGTCCACCTAAAGTATGGGTCATGATTTCGTGCGCAGTATCACCTCGAGGGCTTTGTCTAGGGTCTATAGGGTTTAGGGTTTAGGGTTTAGGGATCTGTCTGGGCAACTCCTGGGAGGTCACATCAACAACCCTAACATGAGCCTAGAGAACTTTGTTGGCGGGTTATAGGCCATCGTGGGGTATTCGAGAAGTCCAGGTAGGGCCAGGTTTCTGGCTTAGGTAGCCTTGTGTTTTGTGGGGTTTTCAGTTCTCATACACAAATTGAACTATCATCCTCAACCGCATGCGTGAGTCAGAATGATGGAAATGCCGAGATGGAATGTTTCAAGAACGCGCTATAGAACTCTCATTAGTGACCCCCCGTAATTTTCGCATATAATCCCGCTATACAATCAGGCTTCCTAAGTTCTCCCATAGTGAAGGAACCCCCATGCCAGGACGATCATGCAACTATGAAGGATTTGTCCGAGGCCCTCGAGGCAAGGATTGGCATCTCAGCAGGAACAAAGCTGGTGCTGATGTCTGGTGAAAGCACCTTGGATGAGCGCTGGCTCTTTGTGAGACACCTTCCCAAAGCGCCGATTACGTATGTTATTCAGCGGGTTGGTGCCGGCCATGCGGCAGCGAGTTTGACACGCATGTTGCGCCGTCCTGACACTCCTTTGACGCTGGCAGAAATACAAGACGTCAGGGCTATTTCTACCTTGATATTTGGCGACCAGTTCAACCAGAGTCTGGAAGATGTCACATTGCCAGCTAGCCTACAGAACTTGACATTTGGCTACGGGTTCAACCAGAGTCGGGAAGGTGTCACATTGCCAGCTAGCCTACAGAAGTTGACATTTGGCTACGGGTTCAACCAGAGTCTAGAAGGACACGCTGCCACTTAACCTGCAGACGTTGATATTTGGCGACAGTTTCAACCAGAGCTTGCAAGGTGTCACGTTGCCAGTTAATCTGCAGAACTTGACGTTTGGCGACGAATTCAACCAGAGCTTGGAAGGTGTCACGTTGCCAGCTAGCCTGCAGAACTTGACATTTGGCGGCGAATTCGACCAGAGTCTGGAAGGTGTCATGTTGCCAGCCAACCTGCAGACATTGACATTTTGCTACGGGTTCAACCAAAGTTTGTCAGGTGTCATGCTGCCAGCTAGCCTTCAGCAGCTGACCTTTGGCTACAATTTCAACCAGAGTCTAGAAGGTGTCACGTTTCCAGATAACTTGCAGACATTGGCTCTTGGCTACAAGTTCAACCAGGGCTGGGAAGGTGTCACGCTGCCACTTAGTTTGCAAACATTGACATTCGGCGTCGAGTTCAACCAGAATCTGGAAGGTTTTACGTTGCCCCTGCAGACGCTGACACTTGGGGATAATTTTGACCAGAGTCTAGAAGTTGTCACGTTGCCAGCTAGCCTGCAGAACTTGACATTTGGCGGCGAATTCAACCAGAGTCTGGAAGGTGTCATGTTGCCAGCCAACCTGCAGACATTGACATTTTGCTACGGGTTCAACCAAAGTTTGTCAGGTGTCATGCTGCCACTTAACCTGCAGACGTTGATTTTTGGCCACAGGTTTAACCAGAGTCTGGAAGGTGACACGTTGCCAGTTAATCTGCAGAGCTTGACGTTTGGCGACGAGTTCAACCAGACCATGGAAAATGTAACGTTGCCAGCGAGCCTACAGAACTTGACATTTGGCCACGCGTTCAACCAGAGTCTGGAAGGTATCACGTTGCCAGCTAGCCTTCAGCAGCTGACATTTGGCCACAATTTCAACCAGAGTCTAGAAGGTGTCACATTTCCAGATAATTTGCGGACATTGGCTCTTGGCTACGAGTTCAACCACAGTCTGGAAGGTGTCACGTTGCCGCTTAATTTACAGACATTGACATTTGACCGTAGGTTCAACCAGAGTCTGCGAGGTGTCACGTTGCCTTGTCTAGTGCAGATTCAGTTTGGTTCAGTTCACATTTTGAGTCATGTTGGCGTTGACCACGAGGCTGCAATCTAGCTACTTCATTTGTTTGGGCTGCACGCGGATACGGCCTGGTACCACCAGCAGAGGCACGGTCTATGAGCATTTTAGCACTGGCTCAGCGTATTTTTACCTTCACCCAAACTATGCCAGACCGCAGCATACAGCAGAACGAAGAAACTTCACGCTAGAAAGTCCTCTGCGAGCGGAGATTTGAATGGTTGTTCACGTTCGAATTCAGCTCGATAGGCATTCGGCATTCGTAATGTTTGTAAGGCGAATTTGATCCTTGGTGTTGGTCACCGGCGCGTTGGTGCCCAAAAGGCAAGGAGTACAGTTTGTTTGTATGGGCGTATTTCATGGGCTTTCCATTTTTGCAGCTCTCATGTAACCGTTTTGAGGTAAAAGGCTTGAGGAGTTCCGTTTTGCCTTAACAGCCTAGGCTTGGGGGTTGGGTGCATGTTTTGGGGTTTAGGGTTTAGGGGTCCATGGCATGGATTTAGGGTTCGGGTTTTTGGCTTTAGGGGTTAATGGCATGGAGTGTGACACGCCGTAGGTGGTCCACTCCAGAATATAACGGGATTTAGTCTCTAAGCCCTAAACCCTAACCCCCAAAACCCAACTTAATTGTATTCTAACCTTGCTTATAATCCCAGGAACTGCCTCGTGTAGGTTATGCCAATGATAGAGTAGGGTTAAGGGTTTAGGGGTAGGGCGTTAATGAATTACGTATAATCCAGTTTGGAACCTCCACATAGGCTTTGGGGCACGTGCTTGCTGAGCATCCGAAAGCTACACTTCTTAGACACGCTAATTCTTCACCTTCTTTGGAAGGTTGGCCTGGGCAGGCTTAGTGCCATGGGATCCCTACATGCAATGTTCCTGCAAATGTTGTGTTGATTCATCGTTGCTTTCAGCGACCCCAAGACGAACGCAAACTCCTAAACTCTACCATGGATCCTATATGTTCGCTACATGACCGCCATCAAGCACAAGTGGCCCCAACAAAGCCCAGAGCGATGCATGTGTTGCAGCACTAGGCTCCAAAACCAAATCCTACATCCTAACCCCAAACATCCCAGACCCTAAAACGCAAAGCCTTAAAACCCAAGCTCTAAACTCTCAAGCCCTACGCCCCAACTGTGACTCCTAAGCCCTAACCTAAACCCTAAACCTGAGCCCCAAGCCCTATAATCTCGGAACCCAAACCCTATGAAGGATTGTTCTCAAAATTATGGGCCTCTTTTGGCATGGATTTTTTTAACAGCACTTCATATTTAGGGGTACCAAATGGGACCTTAATTATGGGAACTACCCATAAATCCTAAACCCTAAGCCAGGAATCCTAGGCAGGCAGGTAAGTAGCTGTGTGCCAATGATCGTTATCCTCCAAACCCGGAATTCCATGGTTTAGGGTTTAGGGTGCTTGAGGGGGAGTGGGGGACTGAATATAGGGATTATCATGTGGGGGTGGTGCAAGATTGCCTCCACTAACAGTATCAAAGCCCAAAGTCTGAAAGATCAGGTCGAGCTGGCCAGAAGGAGCTGCATGACCCTGACCCGGCCCCTTCCGTGAAACTGAAAAAGAAGCCCGTTTAGGGTAGGGCCCTTTTGTTGAGATTTCAAGTTAGCTTGGCAGGGCAAGCCCCAAACATTCAACTGCCTGTTTGCGGGTGATACACACGGTGTTTCTTTGGGGCTTAGTGTGTGGGAGTCCCATACAGCCCTGAAGCATACAGTGTATACACCCTTTACATGCATCATCCTATCCCTCCACAAGCTCCTTTTCCGGGTTCCCTGTAGGGCCTGATATGTTCTCGGGAGGTGGTTGCCATTTTCGATGACTTCATGGCAAAGACCGTCATCATGACTCACCAGGATGGCTAGGGGTTCGGGGTCTAGATGGTATGGCGCTCAATGAGCTTAGCAAGAACTTACAGATGCCATCATACTTCACAAAATCTTGTTTTTCTGTTGCCGGCAATGCTTATGCCCGCCTCTAGCTGGCCTTACGTAGCGGTAGTAGTTGTAGTGTTTTTGCTGCCATTCGTCGCAGTGAACTTCTCGCATGTTGATCATCCCGGGCATTGCCCCAGAGAGCCCGTGCCTCTTAGTCCAGGAATATAGTTACGAATGCGGGAGCATCAAGTGGAAAGGAAAATGGAAGATTCTGCAAGATCATATGGAAACTGGGTTTGTCTAGAGGTCATTTGGGATAGAGCACCTTGAAGGAGAAAAAACCTTAATCCATAGAAGAAATCCTAGTCTCATGTAGTTACTTAGAGGCCATGGGGATCCCATGAATACTTCGCAAAAGGCTTCCAAGATGAAGACTCCCTTAATTCTCTTGGATTCACCTTAGAGCCCTAAGCTCACCATTATAGGGGGCCCCCATTTTGAGCAACTCCCCCAGTGTTTCAAGGACTTTAAGTTTGTACCCTTAATGTTTGTACCCCTAAGTTTTGGGTCCCAAATACCCTTATTGAGGGCCATATTACATAGTTTAGGGACCCAAAGCCCAAGGGTACAAACCCTAAGGGTCCAAAGGAAAACTCCCTGAGTGTTAGTGCTGAAAGCTCTGAACCCTAAACCCGGGATTCTGGCCTGAACACGGCGGGGTTGGTAATTTGGTGATGATGGTTTAGGGGTTTAGGGTTTAAGGGTTTAGGGTTTAATAGGGTTTAGGCTTAGAGTTTAGGGTTTCATAGTTTTGGGGTTCCGATCATCCTCTTGTAGGTTCTGAGTTTGGGACATAAATAGTTTTCGGGTTCCTATAGTCTTGCTATCGTGAAGAAGAAGTGACCGTGTTTTTTTTCTGAATTCACCAACTGCGAAGCATGTAGCCCATCTCCTAAACCCTACACCCTAAACCCCAAACCCCAAACCCTATGTCATGGGACAGTTTTTGGACATTAGTGCGGGGGTGACCCTATGGATATCAGACTGTGCCCGAACTCCGCGGAGCTGTGCCCAAACCCTAAGCCCGAAATCCTAAATCTTAAGCCCACAAACCCCAAACCCCCAAACCCAAACCTCAAACCCCAACTCAAAAAAACCCTAAACTCTGAACCCCTAAACCCTACACCCCAAAATCCTAAACCTTAAGCCCTGAACCTGGAACGTCAAACCAGCAGTCCGGAAGTCAGAGAGGGCCCAATACACCTCACTTAAGAAACACACCCTGAATAAGGATAATGAGTTCGGGCTTGGGGTTTAGGATGTAGGGTTTAGGACATGGGGAATATATCCTCAGGTTTAGGTTTCGGTTTGCAGCTTAGCGGAACAGAATATGCCATGAATGATTCTTGGATTCCTACTATGAAGTACGTTCTATTCCATTCCTTAAGTGAGGGCTTTACCCCAAGCCCAAGCCCAACATTCAACTCTAAATCCTGAACACTAAATTCCTTACAGCCTCATCCCTAAGCCCACCCTAAATCCTCCACCCTAAGCCCTGACACCCAACCCCTAAACCCTAAATTGGCCCCCAAACCCTCAACCATGTTAACCAAAAATCCACAACCCTAAACCGTACATTCTTTGGTAATGAAGGGGTTTGGGGTTTCTCAAGGGTTCCAGGGTTGTACTCCTAAGTTTGTACCCCTAAAAAGCGTTCCCCAATATGGCCTTAATATGGCATTTATATGAGCCAATGTAGTCCCCTAGTCCTTTCAACGGGTCCCGAAACCCGGGGGTACAACCCTAGGGCTACAAGCCTGAAACCGAAAAACCTAAACCCTAATCCCTAAACCCTAAACCCTAATCCCGAAACCCTAATCCCTAAACCTTAATCCCTAACCCCCAGGTTTCTTGGTAAGTCAGGAGCAGTTCGAGGGGCGGCAGCTGGCCACTTTGCTTGCGCATGTGGTGCCGCTGTCCAGCCTGGCCAGAGGACCCGGGGCCGAGAGATAGGAATTTTGGGATTAGGGTTTGGGGTTTAGGGTTTAGGGGTTTAGGGTTTAGGGGTGTAGGGGTTTAGGGTTTAGGGCTTAGGGAATAATTGCCAATATTAGGGTTTAGGGTTTAGGGTTTACGTAGGGTTTTAGGGTTCAGGGATTAGGGCTGAGCTAAAAGTTGTACTTTGAAGGGGGTCCTGAAGACAGCTAAGTGATAGTCATTCGGGTTTAGAGCCCCTTTTTTTTTTTAGCAAAGCCGGTCGCATGCTAAAGCCTTTTGATGTTTGTTCTCTACACCCAAATGTACCCTAGTCTAAACTCCTTAACAGGGGTTATGTAGGGGAATTTATAGGAGTCTTATAGGGCCTATGAAAGGGGATACTAGGAGTTTAGACTATAGCTCAAATGAAATGTCGCTGGAGGGTTGTTGAACTTATGGACTTTTGGTGTACACCACCTTTAAGGGGCAAGATCAAAACAACCCCCCAGAACTTAAATCCTTAAGCCCCTTCCTGTACTTATGATATAGGGTTTAGAGTTTAGGCCTTCATCCCTCAGCCCTGCCACCATAAATTGCACACCCAAAACCCAAGGCCTTGCAAGAAGTCGAGCCCCGGATAAGTAGTTGTAGTGGGTGACAAATAATAGCCCCCCCCAGCATGGAAAGATGTTCTTTTTTTTTTTGGCTTCAGTCCTCTTTAAGAAGAACATAGTCATAGTCCTATTCAATTGAGCCCAACCACCAGAAAACCTGAGGGGTTTAGGGTTTTTAGGGTTTAGGGTTTAGGGTGGGTTTTCTGGCTTGTGCAGGACAAATGTGCAGCCCCAGCCTGCAGGTGGCTGAAGTGGCAGCTTCCAGGAGCTTTTCTTCGGTTGCGCTCGAACTGATGGGGAATTCTTAGAGGTGCCCCAGAAGGAACACAGCCATCATAGAAGGGGATTGTTGAGAGATTAGCCAACATATGTACCTGTAAATAGCTTCCAATTTTGTGCTTACTATGAAGGAGCTCTTCTTAAGGAATCACCCGGTGGCTACCCTTACTACCCTTACTACCCTTACATACCCTTACTACATGAGGTCTACATAAGTTTTTTGTGTAAGAGCTATGTAAGACTCATGTCAGGGAGAGTACCTTCCTC